CCGCCCCGCAGCTTGATCTCTGCGTACTGATTACTCTGAAGTTTGCCAAACTGGTGGCGAAGGTGCTCGATACTAACAAAGACGCGATCGGCGACGTCTGTGTCGTGTTGCATAAGTGTGTAGCCGACTGCAAAACCGGCATCAGAGATTACTTGATACAGTATGTAATAATCTAAAATCATCAGCAAAGCGATTGTATTAAGCTTATAGTGATACCTTTGTAAGAATGCAGACACTCTGTACTTCAATGCCATCTCGTATGTCTTCTATTAATGAGAATTGTATATGGTCACCTCGGCATAGCTGTGCGAGAACTTGTGCAAGTAAGCTGCTAGGATAAGTAAATACGCGAGGTTTCAAGACATCGACTTCCATATGCCAGTCGTTGATAGACTTGATCTTTTCTGGATTAGGACGTATCCCATTGTTTCAAACGATGCACCCAATGAGTTATATTTTTCTAGCTGCAAACATACACTATTTTACATCAGCGTACTACTTTGCACGCACACAAGTCCTCCGGACGTATATTCTGGTGCTTGTACGTCCGTTGTTTCGACCATAGCCGAGATTGGAGCGAACAAATCGTCAAATCATATCGCTGCGGAATCTTGCACCGGTCTCAACAGATATGACTCGCATCTGTTGCACGTGACATGGTCGTTACTTCGTTCTTGTGACGTGACTAGACACTTTCAGACCATAATAATAAGGGTCCTCGCTACTGTGAACGAATTTTCTTGCTCTTGCATAAGGTTCTGCGTGATCAGGCATACAAATCCACCTAAAATTAACCTCACTTCTGTGGACAAGAGACTATTTTTAATTGACATTATATATGAGATAATGTCCTTCTTTTATATCGATTTCTAAGATGGTGCCGTTTCAGCATTTAAAATGTTGGATGCGTGAGCTATCCGCCATTCTAACGTGGCCTTTAGCATACATAAGGCTAGAAAGAAATATGGGTTCGACGTTTTACATGTCCCTCTGCTAAGCGGTAGACGAAGCATTTGTCAATAAAAGTTATTTGTTCACAAGTCAGTAGTCATTGATTTGGGACACAATACGTTAAACCAGTATTCAGTTCGATTTTGCGTTGAGTGTCATGATGCTTAGGCCAATAGGATGGTACAAGGTTAAAAAAATACATCAATAAAATTATTATATTCGGGTATATAGACTGTCCTTTAGGTGGCTTCCATATCAAAAGCGTGTATCGCTAACTTTCACTTATTTCATGGAGGACACTTTCGTCAATCGGTGACCTGCTGACAACACGTTCGTTATGAACAAATATCGCCCAGTATCATATTCACGACGTGCTCGTCCTCTTGGACAAGTACGCAGATCTACTTGACCTTGCCACTGCGCTGCTCTACTAAAGACCGTTTAGATTCGATCGTCGGAAATTGATTAATATCCGACGTTATCGATGGAGATAGCATCAGATCAAGTGTATAATCGCCTACAATTGATCTGACCTCAACTTGATACATTTAATACCTTAATCAGTACTAGGGGTTATAATTCCTCAAGCTCATGGGACTAACTCCTTCAGAATGATGGGGACTTATTTCCTCAGTATTCATACATTGAGAGTGCTGATCCCAAGCACGTAGAAATCTATATTCGACTTAATCCAGCTGTGTCTGTTTTTTAATAACATGGGGTTTTCACCGGTTGACCAGCCGGTCGCGCTGTAATTGCCATAGTGACCATCCCTGGTCAATTGGGCTCGATTTTTTTGACAATGTCTTAAACGATCCGTGTCACGGTTCACTTTTATTATTGGAGTATTCAAAAATTAGTACTGTGCCCCAACACAGTTATCAACATCTCCCCTTACCGTGTGGGGTTCAACTACACTGATGTCTGGTGTAGTCGTACTAATGAACGCAACACGAGTGATGTCATTGCTATAACTCGTAGAACAATATGTGCTTGTCAAAGCTCTACGGCGTACATTAGATGGTCATATGGCGAACAAAGTGGCAAATGATTTTACGGATTAATGCTGATCCATGATGGATCAACGATGACATCGACTTTTTCGATCACATTTGTCGCTCTATTTATTATCGAACATGTTTTCCATATTGTAGTGGATTCTTTCTACCCGTTTCTTCACTGTTACGGGTTCGTCTTTTGCAAGGTGTGCCGTCATCTCGTAAAAGTAGAATTTGCGCTTACTTGAGAATCCAATCGTTTAGCTGCTGGCGTCGAGCAAAATCATTCAACGTCCACAGTAAACTAGGGCTCGAGTTATTTCTCTTTCGTCACTTCGATCTTCACGGTGATGAGGGATACATCATAATTAGTGGCAGAAGCGCACAATGACTGTATGTTAGTAGCTAATTTTGTCAAGAGGCCTGTAAATTTTATTGACACTGCTGGATCATCAAGGTGGTCCGCTACTACAGATTCCAACCGTTTTTGAAGGCCCGCCTCGTTGTTGCGATGTCCCAACAACGTCGAACCCGCGTCTAGGACACTTTTTGGACAAAAGCCGCTTCTTGTGTACTGTCTTCCGTATGCTTGGATCCAGGGCACTATATTCCCATTTGGGGTGAACTTTGTTTTGACATTTATTGTATATCTGCACTCGTTTGTATTCTGTGTAATCGGGTTCTTTCGTCCCTCCATTTTAAAAGAGGTACATCGATTTAGGCCTACAACTTGTCGTCTCGAAGAACGACATGATCCCGAATTGACATGATTCTACCTCCTGTTCCGCCCAGATATATCGATTTGTCGGGATTATTTAGTTGCAAGCGGAACAGATGGATGTTGGTGCGACCACCCGCGAAACCCTTCATGAATTTGTAATAAACATGTACTAATGACCGTAATGGATGCTATTCAAATCGATAGGTATGGAATGTGCGGAGCATAAGCGTGAACGTCAAGCTTAGCTTAGCTAGGCGTTACTTAGTGTGAAAGTTACTTATACCTCTGACGGCGATACATCGAGTCCTTATGGTGTCGTCTAACTCGACGAGCCATGTCAACAAGGAGTCTTCCTCGACTCTTTTGTACTTGGAGATATCAGTTTACAAACTTTCGAGTGGACGTGAGTGCGTCAACCCTGTAGCAGCATGGGACTGCTGCAGTCTCTACAGCTCAGATTGTAAGGCACCATGCTTTTTCATTGCTCTATATGTTGAACACTTTGCTGGTGAAGCAAGGTTACTTTGGCCTGCGCCTTATCAAGTTAATGCTGTGTGAAATTGGACATTACTGCATGCTGCTCGACACCATTTATGGTGAACAGCATGGCGTTGACCAATGGGTGAACCCACTAATTTCGACCTATCACGATCGAAATCATTCGTTTGGTCGCCGCTCAATCAAAACGACTCAATTGTGCCTGGCCTTTAAGCGTGCTGTCAAAGCTATCCTCGTTTGTACCATTTTTGTTCATATAGGATGGAACGTCCGTGGTCGTTGGACGGACCACGAAGTGCTACCAGGTGAAAAGTGTATAATTCGCTTGTACTGAAAAAGTACAAGCTATCTGCACTGGTACAGTGTAGGCAGATGTCATGGATACTGGCGTTCACTATGCATGTAGAGGAAGATTTTGCCTCTAAAAGGAACACTTTCGAGAATAGACAGAAGTCGAACTGCATTTCATATAGTTAAACTTTATAACAAATATATGCTTTGGTCTTGCTGACCCATTGCACGCGTCAAGAAGCGATTGCTGGTTTATTTGGTGAATAAAGTGGCGGTCTATTGCAATGGATAAGTGGAGTGGTGCTTTATATTACCTTCGAATGTATATTCCCGCTACTTATTTACTAAGGTATATATTATTGAAAATTATCCATTTAGATAATTTTATTCTTGACTCATCGTGGTGTCACTTACAGGTTACGCGCTCACCACGTCACAGGCGTCGACAATGAAAAGACATAGCGAAAGGAGTCAAGACTATACTATTTTGATTGTATTGCAACAAAAAATGTAGCACGGATCGTCTATAGTGTACCCACGTGAGGGCATGTCGGTTATGTTGTTGGCTACTGATACTAATGACCACGTGGCAAGGACGACGCTACATGATTGTATGCAACGATGGGATCGACTCATCGTTTTTTACTGATATTGTAGAATCGATATCGATAGGCTTAGCGTAGTACAACGAGACGAACTAAGGACCTAGCTAGATGATGATTCAGTTTCCATTTCACCTTCGCTAAGCCTTGGCTGTTGCCAAAAGCCATAAGGGTAGACCCACCTATGTCACGGCTGGCCGTCCATCATCGGCCAAACTAGGGGTGCAACTATACAAACGACACCTACATCGTGACTACGTTTCCTGCCTTGTCGCTACTGGCGCTAGACGTTGTCCAAGACTCGCTATGCTGTCGGACTTGTAGCGGTGGCTACTCGATAGTCTACAAGAGCTTGGGATCGTGGCTTGGGCCAGATACTGTTGCCGAACAAAAATCGAGGGAACATCACGTAGACGTGTTGGATTTGCAACTGTGCGGATCTGACCCGCACTAGAGCTTGAAGGGCTAGCGATATGCAAGTGGTAAATCGATCGAGTAGCTTCGTGTAACACACGACCTCGACCATGACGTTGCCTGTTAACGACAACCCAAGCATGGGGGATCAAGGTTGAAGATGCGAAATGATTGGGCTGAGTGGATTAGCTCACTCGATCCGGTTTGCAACAAGAGCGTTCGAATTGTCGGAGAACAGTCCATGAAGATATCGACGGGTCTACACGTGCACGTAACTTCCAGCACTCTGCCTAATTATCTACGGGTGGTAGGTTGTCTCGGCCCTCTAGCGATGGAAACACAGGACGTGCATTCCTTTACCGTTTCAAATGGCTAGAAAAGCAAGATGTAAACAAGAAGTGCAACAGCTGCCATACGAGTGAGGTACGATCTGCACACAAACGAGATACAATGGCACGATCTCAATCCTTGAGCGATAGTGACATGTGGTGCAACCACAGCCAGCGTGATTCCGTTGTCTACAGCCTACTCCTTCGCAACTTTCTTCTTGGCAGCCTTCTGCATCTTCACAGCTTGCACGTTTACCTTCGCGTCGCGAGTGAACGGCAAGAAAGTGACGCCGCCCATAAAGGGCACCAGCACCTCTGGCACCTTGACGCCGTTGTCGTCCTGGAAGTTCTCCAAGATGCAGCAAACCGTTCGCGTGGAAGCACAGAGCGTCGAGTTCAGCATGTGCACGTACTTCTTCTCGCGCTGGTTCTCCTTCTTCACACCACAACGAATCTCCATCGCGCGCGACTGGAAGTCCGTGCAGTTAGAGGCAGACACCAGTTCGCGATACTCTTTGTAAGCAGGGAACCACGCCTCCAAGTCGTACTTCTTCACAGCAGCATTGTTCAGCTCACTAGACACAATATTCACCACGCGGTACGGCAGTTCCAGCGACTGGTAAAACTCCTCAGCATGACGCAGCATTTCTTCATGCATAGCAGTGGAGCTCTCCGGGTCTGTAATGCAGAACTGCTCAATCTTGTCGAACTGATGCACCCGGAAAATACCCCACGTGTCCTTGCCGTGCGAGCCAGCTTCCTTGCGAAAACAGGTCGAGAATCCACCGTAACGTAGCGGCAGCGAGCTCTCTGTGATCCACTCGCCTTTGTGGTAGCCGCAAATGGGCTGTTCGGACGTGGCAATGAGATACTTTTCGTCTTCACCAATGACCTTGTACAGCTGCTCGTCAAAGTCGTCCAGTTGTGCGACAGCCGCCATGCACTCCTTGTTCATGAAGAAAGGTGGCTTGAGCATCTTGTACTGGGCCTTCATGAGGAAGGCCGTGGCATAGGCCATGAGTGCCTGTTCCAGCAAGAAGCCGTAGCCCGTGAGGAAGTAAGCACGATGGCCAGCCACCTGCACGCCACGTTCGGGTTCATAGCCGTCAATGCGGTGCAGCACCTCGTGATGGTAGTGCAGACCGTCCTTTTCCACAGGAACGCCCCACTTTTTCACCACCACGTTCTCGTCTTCGTTGTTCGAAATGGGCACCGTGGGGTCCACGACGTTGCCAATCTTCGGCAGCTCTCGATCCACGAGCTCTTTCAGGGCCTCAGCCTCTTTCTTCTTCTCCGGCAGCTGAGCAGCCAGATCCTTGCGCTCGTCACTGAGTGCCTTAAAGTCCTGCTTGGCCTTGCTGAGCGCTTTGATCTCCTGCTGCAGCGCGTTCATCTTCATGCTCACGGTCTCCACCTCGCCCTGTTTCTTGCGCCACTGCTCGTCGAGCTCAATCACTTTGTTCACAATGTCGACGTTCAGGAAGCGCTTCTGCTGGTCAGCGCGCACAGCGTCGGGGTCCCCGCCCCGCTCGGGACGCAGGCGGTTGATGTCGATCGGCATCGTTCAGTCCACTCGGGGACGGACAGACGACGGACTTCTTGGCTGGGAGGTCGATCGCTTTTCCACCTATGAGCGCGTCGTGTGTCGATGGGAACTTAGCGCTCACACATCGGTTACTTCACGAATGATGTTGCACGAAGGATCTCCATGTTGTATTACGCAAACTGTTACGGCGCGCTAGCTAGTCAACGTGCTTCACGCACGAGTTCATGGACACAGCCTTCACAACAGCGTGCCTCGCTGATGGTGGTGGTGGTGGTGCCGTTCCTGCGTGACGGCAAAGCGATCCACGACAGTGTTGACGGTTGTAGTGCCCTTCGTGAGCGTCGCTAGGTACGAAACCAAAAGCGCGTCGTTGTACTCTAGCGCGAACGCCGCATCAAAGTGCTCCGATTGCATTGCTGGCAGCTGGTTGCAAATGCTGGAAATGTGGCGGAGCAGGTTGTGGTCCATCGGCGCCTCGCCGTTCTTCGTAGCCTGCAGAAAGCACAGCAAGACGTCGACCTGCCGGTCCAACATCTTGACAGCGTCTCGCACATTGCCTAGATACGGATGCACTGCCGATAGCGCAACCACGAACAAACTGTCAGCTGAGCAATACGCGCTCCACTAAACGACAGCGTGTCAAGCACACATGCACAGCACGTACGGGTAGACTTGCTGGCATCGCCAACGGGTGTGATCTTGGAAATATGGTCAATGGCAATACCTTCTGTCTCTGACGTTTCGATCTTGAACGGCGCCTTGACAAAAATCATCTTGGGCACGCCGTTCAGCATGTGCAGTTCCGATTCATAGAGCGAAATGGGCAGCTTCTTTTTCGTGCTCGGTCCTTTCGCTTCTGGGTCCAGGATCATAAACAGCGGGCTCTCGTTGAACTCCATCACCTACAAGAATCGAATGCGCTCACTCGTTACTCGAGGACCCACTTTTTTCTCACACTTCAAGCCAGAAAACTGTAGCAAGCTCTTACCACGCGGTGCACCGCCAAATCACTAGGAAGAGCTTGCGCACCAACTGTGTACCACCCCAGCAGCTCGAAACCAGGGAACACCTGCGAAACTAGAGTCAACCACCAACCAAAAGAGCGTGTTACCACCAACCGAAACAGCTATGGAGACAGAGCGATTTTTCTATGTTTGCACAAGTCGCGCACGCACATTGCTGGATGCGCGAGGTGAGGAACTCCTTGTCGATCTGCATCTCGCCATGCAAAATATCGTACTTCATCTCAAACGAGTCGTACACGGCCACGTCCAGGCCTTTCTGGATACCAAACAGTGCGCCAATGACTTGCGGAGCCTCTGTCTGACTCAGCTGCGAGTTGCATTTCTGCCGCGTCTGGTGGTCAGTGATGTTCACGATCACGAGCGGATGGATTTGGATCTGACGCTCGCCGCCGCCCGCGCCGCTGTCCTCGCGCTGCACCAGAATCGCTTCGTCCGTCTCGTCAACGCTCGTCATTTCTATATCGGGCATTGTGCTTAGAAATGTCTCGAAACCGATTGTACGAAACGCCTCAGCGGAGAGGTGTGTTGCTCGTGTTGCTTGAATGTGCTTTTTGTAAAATGAAACGCCGCCTTGACGAAATGTTGGCGTCGCTTCTGCGAGGAATGAACGCATTATCGTACGGTCAGTCTTGTGACTGCAGTAGTTATGAGCAAAAGGTAGACTCCTTACGACCGCAAGGCAATGCTGCGTGAACACGTCACCGAGAGCGGAAAAGATTACGTTGCAGAGTATGATACTGTGCACGTCGCTAGCTCCGTCGCGAGGCACTGCACGTGGGCTAGTGCACATACCCTTTATAAAATGGATGCATCCTTTGCTTATTGGATGCCTGCAGCTCTGGCGCTGTAAGCATAGCTAGCTTCATCGTTGGCAGCTAACAATCGGACTGTAATTGACGTTGGGATATACTTTACCTAACAAATACCCTGCTGGCGCAATTCAGCTCTATATTGCATGAAAGGGAATGCCGCATGGCGATCGAAATGAGCTCGATCAGGAGATCGACGAAAGCTTACAATGTCGGTCGATACCGGAGAGACAACGCTGAATACTGGTCGTTTGGAATGGAGTAGACGCTGGTCGTCGGGTATATTAAATGAGATCAGCAAACACTGATACTTTTGTAGAATGGAATATAAGTGCGCAACCGAGTGAGTTGTGCAACCGGCTGAGTTCAGACTGTACCGGAGCACGTACAGTCGCAGTTTATCCAGACCTGATCGGCCGTGTCGACGGTTGCTGGTACAAGTAGATAGGTTGGTGTTGGGATCTGCTTGGATATCAAGTGAACGTAAACGGCGTGTGCCTTCCACTGACAGGGAAAGTTCTAGCACAAACTACTCAATCAAGTCTCACTTTTGCATGGACCACTTCTGCAACAGCATCATCACCACGAGCTTACCTTAGTCCGGTACAACATTGACCAGATATGACGAAGGCGCCGTCGAATTATGGAGCGAGCAGGAAGGCAAACGGGTACAGACAATATGTCAGCTGACCCAAACTGTTTGGATGGAGGTGGATTGCAATACCGTGTGTTCAATGGAGCATGGGAAAGCTCGTATTGTTCAGATACGCTTTTCTTTTTTGCTCTTTTCACGTACTTTCATAACTCGATCCGATTCGTGTTTTCCGTAAATGTCCAGCTTGCAGTCGGTCGTTGGTGATGCATATTGACAACTCTGCCTCTTCTCCGCATCATCTCAACGTAGACCAAACTTTATCAACAAACATGTCAGCGGCGCTGATGCTTATCAGTAAAAGACGAAGAATGGTAGGCATATGCGCGGTAAATTGCATGCAAACTGCATTGAGTTGATGCATGACGTTGCGGCCCTCTACCGTTCCTTTGTCCTAGATAAACGATGCTTGGCTGATCCAAACGTTGTGTGGTGGCTTCTGGATTGATGTTACCAGCACGACATCGTGTCGAAGGTGCAATTTGCTTGCTGAATGGGTGGAAAAGGAGGGCTACATGGTGACTAAGCTGCCGGATATATGCTTGTCGGAGCACTGATAGTTCTGGTGGGCGCCAACTTTGTGGTCAACGCAATCACAGGATCTTCCAAACCCAACTCCACTTTGTCGCTAGCCTGGAAAAAATGCGTGCTACAATGAGTTGCATGGTAAGCGTGGAAAAGCACGTCCGTCGCACAAACGTTCTACTTCTGGGCACGGAATTTCTCCTGACCCGGTTTGTCACGACGCACCCCTTCACAACACATCGACGGCGCAAGGGAATGCACGAGCGACAACAGACCGCTTTTGCATGTTCAGCATGAGGTCCGAGTACCAATGCTTAGCGATTGAGGGTGACGGTCGCTTCTTCTGCTCAATCTTTTTGTTGTGGTGCTTAGGGTAATGGTTGATGCGATGCGCTGTACCTGTACGGGACACTAGAACGTCAACACAACTGCACAGCTAACGCAGCCAAAGCGTAGAGACGATCAATTGTTTAAAGAACAGGCTGTCGATCAGTTGGTACCGACTTTGTTATTTGCTTGGTCTCTCAACGGACTTACAGTAAGTTGCTGACCTTATCTCCACGTCTAGCTCGTGTGCGCGCTCACTTGCAGTATAGTCGAGTCCGGCGAAGCCGCACAATTTAGCCGGATCCCGCTGAGCATACACCACACATCGGATGTTAGGCGCAGTTCCACGCGGCAAGGCATGAAAAATCGTGGCGACTTACTGCCCACATTTAGTTGCAGACGAGTGACCTGATAGCGCCACCTGCCAATATCACCGAAGCCACTTGCTCGCTTTATTCACCTTGTAAGCGATTCGTTTGCGCCCGAGGGTCCTTGTTTGAGATGAAGTCCGCAAAGCGAGCTGGATCCAGAACTGACCCGGCACGTAGGATAGCGCTGGCACGAGCTCTCGTCCAGCAGACGACTGCCTTCCGCGTTTCGGCGCAACAGTCTTCACCACCACACTCGAACATATTGACGAGCCTCGTGTGCCTCATTGGTTTTGCCGACTTCATAGTACGTTAAGCATCACGACGTTGCTTGTCCAGATTCGGATGCGTCTCAAAGTACAATGGCATGTCTCCAGCCTCATCGATCAGTGGACGTGACATGTCAACGTCAACATCACATGCGATTAAGCTAGCGACAACGTACTGTCACAGAGCCGTCGACACAGTAAGAAAAGAATGATGGGATGAAACAGGTTCATATCGTCTGCACTCGATCAAGAGTATCCCTATCGAAACGGTTTGACTGGCTGGACTTCCTTTCTGCGTAGCGGCATGATGCGCAGCCCGTCACAGCGTCTTTGTCGTCAAACGCTCGTCGAGCACGTACCTGAGGACATGTGTGCGTACCAAGAGAGCACAAGAGCATCAAGCAGTAACGCACGTGGAGCTTGTTCGTTGATGTGGACAGTTTCCGCACGCGTTTCATCATCACGTCGCGCACCAATTACCTCAATCAATCAACCTGTGCTTGCCCATCCCTTTACTGCCGCTGATAAAGCACGACATTGCAAAACAGCGAGAGCCGTAGCTATGCATTGAGGTTGCCATGACAGAACAAGCCTGTGTGATCATGGTAGACTCCGAGTAAGTAGGATACCCTCATGCTGATGTACGTCACCTCACTTTGACATCACTGAGAGTTCATTGGACTGCTCGGACGAGTCGGCACATCTTTCATTTCATTGCACTGAGAGAGAGAGAGTGTGTTGACTCACGCTTGTCCAAATACGTCACTCACCGTTCGCACGTCGTTGGCACAAAAGGTCGTCGTCGATTTGCCATCGATTGACCGATTGAGGCAGACGTGGGATACAAAGGGTAAGTGAAAGAAAAACATGCTTGGGCGAACGTGGTTGCGTCTTTATTTTCTCACTCGATCGATCGAATTCATACGAGCGAGCGATCTCTTATGCTTCGATCGTTTCTCACTCGAAGCGGTGAGAAGCAGCAATGCAGATCCAAGTCCTCCTTTCTCGACGCTACTATTATTCTCTTCCATTGTCGTCCTTCTGTGGAAAGCGGTACGTAGGAATTCGAACCACCACTCTTTTCGCGAGTCGGCCGTCACTGTAGCGAGGGTTGGTCAAAAGAGCCGTCAAACAAATCCCGTGTGTCACACGCACACAGTCCTTGCAAGACCAACCCCTCGAAATTGGTCCGCTCACATATATATATATAGCCAGTCAAAGCGAGATGGGCACACGCGCACACAATGAGACACGCGCCTGCCTTTTCTATCTGAACTCACATGTGCGCTCGTCGTTGTCATAGCAGACATAGATTGAGGCATTTATTTTAGTCCGACCAAAATGGCTCCCCAAACGTAGGCACGAAGCGCCACTGACTTTTCCAGTCCCTACGACGACGACGACTCAGACTCGTGCTCTTGAACAGGTGCTGAGTACGGTCTGAAAAAGTCCGTCCGTCCGTCCGTCCGTCTGTCTGTCTGTCTGTCTGTCTGTCTGTCGTCCGTCCCCTCTCTCTCTCTCTCGTGGACGCTCCCGGTTCTCGCCGTGATTCAGTCGTCAAAGCTGTGCGCTGCAGCATGAGCGACCACGTGTCGGACGACATGCTCTGGTCCCTGGACGTACGAAAACTGCGCGCGCGCTCGCTCGCTCTCCGTCGCTGTCTCTACCTCTGTCTCTCTATACTCACGACTTGACTGTTGTTATCCTGTGTCGTATCCTGTGTATCTATAACCACCCTGCAGAACTTGATCAAGCACGACACTGGCGCCCATATCGACGACGATGACGACCTCGTGCGTACAAGTTTCTACACGCAGGACAATGCCCTCGGACGCTCGATGGTGGGCAATGACCTGGTCTTTGGCCGTCGAGAATCCGCGCGTTTGCCGCCGCATCACAACCGTGAGACGGTCACCAGCCACAGTGGCGGTTACGGACGACTCACTGGTTTAGTTGGCTATGGAATCGACGAGGACGAGTTGACGGACGACGAGGCCATTGGACCCATTGAAGAGCGACTCCCTGCGACGTTGAGTGCTCGGCAGCCAATTGTTAGCAGCACGAACAGCTGCGCGAGACAGTCGTTAAATCGACGCAGTATTAGTGAAGGTACGGACCGGTCCTTGTCGTTCGCGTCAGAGGAGGACTTGAATACTACTGGAAACAGTGGATCGTCGTCGTTAGCGCATCGAAAACGCTCGACGCGACGCTTGAGCGATGGCGATCAGGGGACGTATGAACAACGGATTGAAGCGTCTCTTGCTGGGTACATTACGAAATCCTTGAATGTCGAGTCTCGCATGGCAGCTGAAGCACAGCTGACGCGACAATTTACGATCAAGGATCTTGCCCACTTCTACCCGCAGTTTGGACGGGATATCTACCTTGAACAACTTGGACGTAGTCTACAAAATGAAGAAGGAGGCGAAGTGTCGCTGGCGTCGTATCGTCGATCGACGATGCAGAGAATGTCGACGGCGGAAGATATAATTCGACAGGGATGGATTTTTAAGCGTGGGGAAGTAGTCCCGAGCTTTCGGAAACGCTGGTTTACGCTACGTAGGATGCCACAAGGACCGATGCTGACGTACGCGAAGGACAGTAACGAAGATTCGCCAACTAAAGTGGTGGATCTGAGCTCGACATCTCGCTGCGTGGTTGTCACGGGCAAGGGTGCTAAGGAGCACGAGTTTAAGGTCGTGACGTCTGCCGATTCTTCGCGGCGTGAATTCTGCATGTTGGCAGCGTCGAGCTATGAGATGACTCAGTGGGTGTGCGCGATTCAAGCCGCAATCAACTCGGGAAATCGCTCAACGTTTGATGGTGTGAACGATTTCCAGCAGCTGTGGCACGAAGCTGGCATCCAGGGATTTTTAGTTCGCTACGGCGTGCGCAAGTGCAGTTCTCGGAATCGTCTTCAAACTAGGGTTCTTGAGCTGAATTTTGCCGAGCAGACTCTTACTAATTCGAGAAGAGGAGAGACTCTTACAACATTCCATTTTACAGACATTCGCGGTACATCGGTAAGCAGTGTGTGCTCCCGTGGGGAGGAGTATGGTGTCAGTATCGATTTCCACGGACGCCATCGATCGTGGCCGATTTTCTTGGACACTAGAGAAGCACGTGATGACTTGTTTGCGATCTTGAAGCGGATCGTAGATAACGTAGTATCAGGAGACGACCTTGAGAAGCGATCGTCTCGTTTGACGCTGAAGACTGGCCATCTGGAGACAAAAAATGCTGGACCGCATGCGACTTTGCGTGGCCGTCTGTTTGTATGCCTTCACGAGAACTGCATCATGTTTTATCCAGCAGATGGAGATTCGAGCACACGGCCGTGGTATGTTGTCGCTCTGAAGGGACTCCGTATTGCGGTCAGAGAAGAAAAGCGCCTTCTTTATATTAGTCGATTGGCGTTAGGATGCGCGTCTGCAGCAGAATGTCGCGCCTGGTATGACGCCATCTCAGCAGCAATGTGCCTGCCATCGGAGATCATTGAAATCGAGCTGAAGGAGCGAGCAAAGATACGCTCCATCTTTCAGTCGTGTGTGGCTCGACTGCGAAAGTTGCTCAAGGCCAAAGTGACACCCGAGTCGAGCGGTCCACCGAAAGACCAGAAAGCAGTGAATATGATGATCAAGAAGCTTTGGGGACTTGTTTTTCCCGGAGAGCCGTTTACGTCGAATAATGATCCAAAGTGGCTGGAAGTTGGATTCCAACGAGGAGGCCCGGCTTCTGATCTTCGTGCAAGCGGATTGCTTGGCCTCTATTGTCTTAACTTCTTTGCCGGTTACCCATCGAGTGAGTTCCAGCGCATATTGGAACGCACGCGACATGGTGTGAGTGAAGGCAACATGAAGAATTATCCGCTGGCCATTGCGTGCATCAATGTGGCCTCGATTTTGACTGAGACGCTTGGTCTGGGTGACGCTGGAACACACTCGGAAGGCTGCTCGCTCAATGCTATGAAAGTGTACAGTCACTTGGTCGCGCAGAGTGTCAGTGAGTCACGGTCTGCCAAGAGAACGACGACGTACTTGTCGTCTCGGCCGTTGAGTGCGTATGAGTCCTGGGAAGATGTTGTCGATGAAGCGGAGAACTACGTGTTCGAGATAATCTTTTGTCTACTTTTTCCGGTCCTGGACTCGCTCTTCGTTGAAATGGGAGCGGTACGTTGGTGCATTCACGTAGTGCAAAGCGTTTGTGTCGTTGTGGCTCTAACCCGGTGCTTTTTTTGCTACAGGGATACATGGAGTTTGGGCAAGTCATTACCGCGTTTCGGTGCCGAGTGAATGCTATCTTCGACGCTCAACCAAAGTCACTGAAGATGCTTCAGAAGTTGGCGAGTGAGCCTTGTACCGACACACTTTCCGTGCCCTCGGTGCTGAGTAGTAGGCACATGATAAGCAAGAGTAGTAGGAGCAAGAAAGTGGGAGGTATGTTGCGTAACGAAAGCAGTCGAGAATAGCCACGGGCCATATAGACGTCGGATCGGATTGGTTGGACTTGCACAGCGATGGAACTGTCATGCAATTCGTGTGGAGCGCTTGGTTGTACAATATCAATGACACCCGTGAGTTCACACAACGTTATCTTACATCTGCATTCATTGTGCGCTTACATTTGGACGATACATTTTTACACTTGAGCTCTGCATGTGTCACTGCACACATTCGCTACAATGCAGTTGCTTCCTGAATCGTAAGTACCAACGCGTCGGCAGCGCTTCGGGCCAATCTCTTCAGTATCCTATTGCAGTGTTACACAAAGGGTACAGTGCACAATCGCTCGCGTCGCAACGGAAACGATTCGAGTCAAGACGTTTCGAGTGAGACCTCTTCACAGTGCCATTCCCGAGTTCAGACATACCGTGTAGCTGATATTCTGCAAACTACAACAAGGACGCAGTGTCCTGATTTCTACCGCGCCGACGTATCATTCTCCCTCCAATCCTGTTTGCTGTTGCTACGGTGGGACACAGACTGCAGTCACGGCCACTTTCTTGAGTGAATGGTAAGGTGTCTGAGCAACACGTGCAGCGCATCGATTGACATTGCGTGCAACATATGCCTGAGCGCCACATGTGCTGCCCACAAAAGCAGTGGATCGAAGATGCGTAACTCGCCCCTTTTATCATCACTTGAACATCACACTTGACGTTGTCGCTCGCGCTGCAATTGATTGTGTTACGTTCTCCCTGCTCTCCTCTACCATCACACAAGAAGACAAGGCCGAGATAGATGAGGTTGGTAGATACAGAAGAATCTTGGACGTTAGTGCCGACCGTAGAGGCGCCATCATCCGCCATCTCTTTCTTGCGATGGCTTTGTCCTCGTCTATCGATGGACTTGCCGCTGCGGAGACGCTTGCCTCAGCTTCCATCACTAGCGCTACTCTGCAAGTCTGCGGCCATTCATAGCTTCGCTGCTGTTCCTTCCTGTGTTTATCAGCAGCTACTTCTGCAACGCTCGGCATTCGGCTCGAACGCCGTCGCATCATCAACGAGACGAGCAGCACTGATCGGCTTTCCGATTGCATCGTACCAACTAGTTACGCACGAGCTGTTGCGAGACAGCAGAGCCAATGGCTCATCCTCTCTCTCTCTGCACACAGCATCTTTTCTCACGTACCTGCACGTCAAGCGACTGCAAAACAAAGACCAAACGCTCTCACAAAAGCTTCTCGCCTACTAGCAGCCCATACGACAAACTTGCAGAGCTGCACAAACGCATCGCTCGGACACACATCCAAGCGATCGTCGTCTTGTTAGCAAATACTGTGCAGACGTTTGCCCCCTCTGTGCCCTTTCACGCGCTCAACTCTAGAAAAAGCGACACACGAAGAAATGGATCACACCACAGGGAGCCCCATCCAGTAAACTCTATCGCTGTGTCAGCCGACCGGCCGACTGTTCGTTCTGTCGCAGTTCCGATCAATCAAATAGCAAGCGCCAAGAGCTCTTTTGCACCAGTCAATCCGTATTGTCGATCCATCCATCGATCCATCCATCGATCCATCCTCATCCATCCATCTCCTCATCATCCATCATCATCCATTGCCACCTGCTTGCTCAGTCAATTGCTCGTCCCCGTCATGTCAACAGGAGGCAAAGGAGGAGGGAAGAAGCGACCGCGTGCGGATCTGCTATCGACGCTCGATGCAGCATTTGCGTCGACGGCGCAGTCTACGGATTCCAAGTACACGGCCCAAGCAGCAGCGCAGGCGGTTCCCCAGCAGCACAAGCAACAGGCGTACCAGCAGTTGAAACGGAAGCGGAAGGACGAAGCAAAGCGCGTGACCGACGGCAACGGCCGACGTCAAAAGGGTCGCGACCGGACTGCAGAGGAGAGCGAAGCGAAGCGCGGGAAGAAGCAGACGGAAGCCGCGTATGAAAAGATGAGCACAGAGCTGTTGGCGATTGGGTTGAAAGACTGCTCGTTGGTGAGCTACTGGACATGCGCAGGAAGAGGAGGAGGAGGAGGGGCGGAGATGTTCCGAGGTGTCGACTGACGTGTGGCTATGGTGTGTTGCAGCAAGCGCAGGTTCCAACAACGCTCACGAAGCCGCGTGTGTTGCACGAGACGCTGAAGAACTACTTGGAGACAGTGACGCACGGCACGAAAGCAGACTCGAGTGCCGTTGGTAGTCTCAAGAACAAGGTCTTGTCGTTGGACAACCCGTTCAAGAAGAGCGCTGCGGCTGCTACCGTGGCAAAGACCATCGCCGCTGCGAGTCGCAATCAGACTGCAAAGCTGCTGAGTGCGCGTCAACGTCGAGCGCTTGGGCTGCACTTGCTACGTGGCGAGATCCACTACAGCCACGCCGAGATGCTCAAGGAGATCTGGACGCGGTACGTCTTGCAAGTGATTGCGAGCGACCTCAGCGACGTCCACCACGTGAGCGAAGAAGCGCAGCGGACGAGGAATGCCAAAGTGCACATGAAGCTCAAGTATCTCGATCTGTCAGGATGTCCACTCGAAGGTACGTGAACCGTCAACAGGACGCAGAGCAAGGCACTACCCACCTACTAACTGACTCCCTGCTCCTCTTTTCTCTCCATCTGATGATGTCTGCAGTCGTGCAAGCCCCAAATCCATGCACTGTCGGTCTCCATGGTATCGTCGTCGCCGAGACGCGGCAAACGCTACAGCTCTGCTCTCCTACACCATCGACCAACAACAACAACAACAACAGCAACAGCCACGGCAGTCTCCGCAGTACGTCCCGTTATCGTCCTAACCTGTCGCAATCGAGGCACTCACTCTCCCTCTTTTGTCCTTCTTGTCTACTGGGTCGCGTCTAGCCGTGGTCAAGTCGAGCTCGCGGTTCAAAGTCCGTCTCAGTGCCACCCGCACGTTGTTCCTCGACAGCGCGTGGTTTGCTGACCGCGCGGCCGTTGCCAACCAGTAGTTTTCCACCGTGTGGGCGGATGACGTCATTGCAAATCCCACGACCGCTGTCACCCGTGCAGCCTGTGGTCGTCTCATTTCGAAGACGGCGACAGATAGAAGACGAAAAAGGGACCGACTCGTGCCGTACCTCCAGCGACTGACTGACTGACTGATTGCCTGATCGATCCACGGGCTCAAGGGGCCGTGACCAGCGCCGTTCTCCACGACTATGATTGGTAACAACAGCATTGAACGGTTGTTGCTGCTGGGTGTCGCTTTCCACCTCTTGTGCATCGTGAGCCTCTTTGACATCTACTTCCAGTCCCCCGTGGCGTCAAACATCCCCAGCACCGACTACACAGCGACTCCACCAGCCAAGCGCGTGATCATTTTTACACTCGATGGCTGTCGCGTCGACAAGCTCTATCAGGTGGTAGCAGGCGAGGCAGCGCGCTACGACCTCCACGTCAATGGTACTACTGCGACTGCGACTGGACGTAGCGAGGCCGAAGACCAACGTGCACCTTTTCTCGGCCAAGTGATGCGTCGTCGGGGCAGTTGGGGTGTCTCCCATAATCACGTGCCAACGGAAAGTCGACCGTGTCATGTGGCGTTGACCGCAGGAATGTACGAAGACCCTCATGCAGTCACGACGCAGTGGACGTATCACCCCGAACCATTTGACTCGGTGTTCAACCAGAGCAGCACGTCGTTTATCTATGGCAACCGAGATGTGGTGCCCATGCTGGCACAGTATGCACCTCAGGCTACGGAAGAGCATTATACAGCAAGCGAAGAGATGGACATGGTACGAACCAATGCGTCGCTGATGGACGAGTGGGTGTTTACCAAGGTGAAAGCGTTGTTTGCTCGAGGCGCGAAAGCAAAGGACGTGTACAATCAATTGCATGGAGACAAGCTCGTGCTCTACTGCCATTTCCTGAGCACGGACGTCGTCGGACCGATCGACGGGGCAGGCTCGACCAAGTACTTGCAGAGCATTGCAGTCGTAGACAGATTGATTGAGGACATCCAGCAGCTGGTTGAGGACTATTACGGACACGATGGACGCACGGCGTATCTGGTTACCGGAGACCATGGCATGGATCTTCTTGGTGACCACGGAGATGGTGATCCAGCAAAGACGCGGACAGTACTGATTGCGTGGGGGGCTGGCGTTCAAGGACCTGAGGTGACCAGCTCTTCCACGAGATCAGCATTTGATATTGAGCTTCCGTCACAATCTCGGGCTGAGCTGCTCGTCCGTCTGGCGTCCCAAGTGGCAGAAGAACAAGCAGCTGCACGCGAATGGAAGACGGTGCTTGATCTTAAACGTAAGGACGTGATGCAGGTCGATGTGGCAGCTCTCGTGAGTGCATTGGCCGGACTCCCGTATCCTCGCAACTCGGTCGGTGTGCTACCGTTTACGTACCTGAAGAAAGACAAGTACCGTGCCATTGCCATGGGTGCGAATGCCCAGCAATTGTACAACCATGCACTGCGCAAGGAAGAGATAAGACGTGCTCACCGAGGGCTATTGTTTCTTCCATATGCACCGCTACACCAGCGCGTGCCAGAGCTGAAGACTCAGATTGACGAGGCCATTGGAAACATGACCAAAGCGACAAGTGACGCAAACGATGACGCCGCACATCTCGTCGTAGAGATGATGAGCCAAGAGATGATTGACGTTTGCCAGAGAGCGATTTCGTACTACCAGACGTACGACTGGATGTTTCTGCGCGGATCGATCGTGTTCGGGTATATTGGTTGGGTTGCAGTCATGATGGTTGGCTACCTCGACCCCAGTGCTTTTCGAGTCCGGTGGTTGTTTACCCGCACGGTCAGTGTCAAGTTTATTGCGCTAGTGGCAGCGGTGATGTGGTGGCGATATCTCGCCGATTCGCCGCTTACTTATTATCTCTACGGCTTGTGTCCGCTGTTGTTCTGGAAGTTTATTTGGAGCCACCGTGATGGACTTCAAGCAGTATTCTCCACTGGATGGAAGAGGTCACGGTACCGTTGCATTCTACGCACCGCTACACTTTGTGTGTTTCTAGAGCTCGTCGTTCTTGGCTACAAACGTCGTGACATGTTCACTTTGCTGCTCGTTCTGCTGGCGTTTTGGCCGAGGGTCGGGAGTGACAAAGTGCTGGAGAAGAGCAGAAGCGTCGAGTCGAAAACGCGCTTACGTGGGCACAACTTCATATCGCCAAGCTCCTGTTGGTCAGCAAGTTGTCTTGTCCTCGCAATATTTCCCCGCTTGTCGAGTGGATACAAAGAGAGCACGGCACTAGTCCACATCGGCACATTGTTGATGCTGGCGCTCGCTTGTATGGTCGAGTGGTGCGCTGCAACAGTTTCTGGGTCAAGATCTTGGTGGAAAACGGTGCTTCCAGTACTTGCACGGTTTCCTCTCGTCCTGCTGGCACTTCTGGCGTTGCAGTGGACCACAAGTCTCTTGGATTGCAACGACATGCCACCACGTGTCCTCGTGATGGCCAACTGGGCGTTCCTTATAGCGCCACCAATCTTGATGCTCATTGAAGCCAACTGCCGCAGCAAATCGGCAGTGTTTCGACTGGGGGATGGAAAAGACCTGGAAAGTCAACAGTTTGGTGGAGACGTCGTACGTGTGATGGTCGTCCGGTGTATGAGAGTGATGCTGGCGCTTACGCCTGCGTTCGCATTGCTCAGCACAGCGCACGAGATGCTGTTCTACCTGGCGCTATGCAGTGCACTCTTGAGCTGGATCCTGATTGAAGCAGAGGAGACGCGTGTCACTGACGTGTCTCTAGCTCGTGAAGTACAGCGCGCAGTGATGCTTTTGCTGTTTGCGCAAGTCGCATTCTTTGGTACGAACAGCGTAGCCAGCATCACATCGTTCACGCTATCATCGACTCGGCGCTTTGTGGCCGGATCTGGCTCGTCCGTTGCGCAGGCCCTCGTTGGACTAAAGCTTCTGATCCCTTACGTCGTTGTCGGATGCGCTTTTCGTCTCACGTTACTGCTCCCATCCGGTGCAGCAGCAATCTCAACACGAGAACAGAAGGAGGTGCGGGAAAAGTCTCGTGGCGTGTCACGGCATTACCTCGTTGCCGTGTCTTGTGCAGACGTTGTGGCCGTGCAGTCCCTCTTTCTCGTGACCAATGAAGGGAGCTGGAAGCAAATGGGGAACTCCATTGCCGACTTTTGCATTATCAATGCCCAGCTCGTTCTTCTGCCGACGGTGCTGTTTCTCGCTTGGCTGTTCGTTCGCGACCTCGAGTCGATTGGCAGCGGACACGATGCAGTCGGGAACGACGACGTCGGAAAGGCCGACTAGACAGTCAAGCAGGCAATCAAGCAATCACTTCATCCAACTCAACCTCACCCTCCCACCCCTGCCAGTCTCGAGTACCTTCGTATTCGTCACCCTTGCAGAGCCCGAGTTTGCATCGACGTGTTGTTGAATCTCATTGCATTCGCATTAACACGTGTGGCCAAACTCAGTACAGACGCAACAAGGGATTAACATCTTGTAGTGCAGCGCAAGTTGAAAAAGCATCAAGTGGTTTGAAGTCATGGGGCAACGCAAGTTAAAACGGTACCAAGTGTGTTGGTGTGATGGTGGCGCAATGCCAACAGAGCGTCGAGTAAACAAATCTCGTCGGCTTCCATCTCGTTTTGTCTTGAATACGTCAGCTTCCGCCGGTTCTTTTCGCCGTCGAAATAAACCACGGCCATACGCCCGACTAACCTCTCGCTTCTATAGGACGACCTAGAGCCTGGAAATCCATTCAGGCGTGGGACTCGGATGATGATGATGATTATCACATGCTCACCTAACCGCGTTCGGACGAGTCGGTTTTGTCCAATCATGTCACGCGTCCTCCACGCGGGTAAAAGGCGCCGCTTGCTCTATCCCCGAAACGCGTTTGGCTCACTCTCGTTCATAAGGTGAACCACCGAAAGGACCTCAAGGAGAGCAGCGCACGGACCGCTCGTCGCCATGGGCGTCAACTGGTCCCTCGAGTGCTGCAACGATAAGCAGTTGCTTTCCATCTTCCTCATCGTTTGCTACGCGGTCGTCATCTTCAAACTGTATGTACTTAGACGACTCGTGACTATCGCGTTTTGTATTCGTGTACGATCGATCGACTGACTCACTCTCTCGCATGTTGTACCCATGTCTGTACTCGTTCGTGCTATTGCAGATGGCGCGTGTCTATCCTCCACCCGTTCAAGATCCTGTAGGGCCAATACTGACCTACGAAACTCTTGCCTGCTGCTGTCGAGGCAAGTCTTGTTGGACGCAGGGCAAGTGCTAACCCGAGGGTGTGCTGTTTTCTTTTGTTTGTGTTGTGGATGGCAACGAATGCACAGGACGGTGTTCCTGCACGAACTGGGACATGCCACCGCTGCGTGGCTCACTTGTGGCAGTGTAAGGAGCGGCACATGTGCTTGCAGTGGGCGCAGTATCTCGTCTGTGCGACATGTGAGCTGTTTCGATTGCTCATGAGGCTGCTGGTGGCTTACGGGATTGCAGGTGAAAGGGATGGAGGTGCATCCGGATGAAGGGGGCGTGACCAAGACTGTCGGTGGGCTGCAGTGGGTCATCTTGCCAGCTGTACGTTGCTGGTATAGAACGTGACAGACAACGCCGTTGCTTGCTCGTGTATGACCTTCGTGTCGTGACTGTCTTTGGTATGTTACTGTTCATAGGGATACTTGGGATCGGCAGCGTGGGGTATGGCGCTAACAATTGCGAGTGCCAACAAAACGGCGTCAGAGGTGGCCGCAGGTGTCCTCATCTTCTTCCTGCTGGTCTTCATCTTGTATGCGCACAATGGGTACCTGCGGATTCTGAACCTCTGCTTCATCGTGCTACTTGCGAGTTTGCTGGCGCTAAACATTGGCACGACGTTCGACGCCTTGCAGTACGTGACGCTGTTTCTCGGCGTCATGAGCTGTCTGTTTTCGGTCTATGATATCTGGGACGACCTCATCTCGCGCCGCGTGAATGAGAGCGACGCGTCGGTCTTTGCTAAAATGACGCACACGTCAAGTCGTTGCTGGGGGGTTATTTGGGGTCTCATCGCGCTCGTCTCGCTCGTTGCGGCGGTATACTTCAATTTGCTGGTTGCCGAGAGCTCGGGCGAGTCCCTCACGAACATCTCGGACGCGTCCACGGGCACGAAAGTCGCGTTGTCCTTTGCTGTCATCATTGTGGTCCTCGCTGTAGTTCACACGGCTGTCACCCGGAGATGTATGTTGCGGAAGCGCGTGGGATTCCGCAGCTACTTTTCCGTCGTATAAGTTGTGAAACGACGGTGACCATTGTTGCAGCTGCTTGGCGAGGGACGTCACTGTCTCGTTCCGTTGCGTCTTCCTGCATCAGTATCGTACAAGGTTTGGTAAGTGGTAGCCGGTCGTTTTCCGACGCCGACATGTAGGCACTAAAACGCTTTGTGCGTGCGAGCACGCATCTTCTTATATTTTGCTTCTCTAATGTGCTAAGACATTCCTTGACGCGTCACGTTCACTCGCCTTCTCGCAGGCTGACCGATAGTCATCCTATCCTCTACGGGAGAATGCCGTTCGTCATGCGCTGAAAGTTGTCGTATTGCCGAGTGCTGTAATTGTTGTTGCTTTTGCGGATGAGCGATAACACGTGCGCCACCGTCTCCTGTTTGGATGATGACAGCTTGAAGCGTGAGCGCAAGCGCAACAAAATGTAATCCGCGTCAATGCCCAAAAAGCACGGGTACGGCGACTGACGCGACATGACATCCACGAGATCGCAGATTTCGTCGCAGTGCTGTTGACACGCAACAAAGCCTCTTGTGCAAAGCGTCACGTACTCCTTGAAGCCCTCGGACTCCTGTCCACCCATGGTTTCTACCATCTCGGCAGTCAGCTTAAACGGAGCTGTCTCAATACTCAGCATTCCGCCCGGCGCGATTCCGAGCAGAAAACCATAGTCAATATGGATAATGTGGCCTTCGTTGTCCAGCATGATGTTGCCGTTATGTCGGTCCTTAATTTGAAGAAAGTAACACACCAACGAGTAGCCTGCCATTGACCGGATGAACTTCCGCCGAGCTTCCTTGAACCGCCGCGAGTCAGATGGCCCGTACGACTTCTTGAAGTGATGAAGCAACGAAATGTAGCCTTCACGCTTCTTCAGACCATCCAGCGATATCGCATTGATCAATGTCTCAATAAGCCCAGTGGATGAACTCGTAGCAATGATTCGGTATCTCTTCACCCACATCGGCAGATTGGCGCTCCTGAAGATCTCGACAAACTTTTGAATCAATTGCAGAGTAAACACCTCCTGACGAAGATCATCGTTGCTCTTGCCAATCATGGACACAATGTCCCATCCAGGAAGGTGGCCATATGGCGACGCTGCTTTCAGTCTTGCCCGTTTCGAACTCCACGATTCGCCAAAGGCTGCCTCAAAGTCCCTTCGACGTGCTTTCTCACGCTCAACTGCTTCAGCTGTCAAGTTACCAGTTTCTAGATCCATTTCCAAAGCTACTGAAGGAGCACTCTTGCCCGTCGTTTTGCCGCCTGTGGTTGTGCTACCAGTCGACATATGATTAAGCTGCGTGGGAATCGACCGGGCCGTCGACGGCGTTGACACAATGTCAGAAACATCTATCGGTGTCTCAGGAATCGGCACGCGACGAGCCACGGGAACTGAGGCGTGACATGGCTGCGACGTAGCAGGAACAGAAACTACAGATTGCGATCGAAACTCATCCGTCCCCCCCGCATCAGCCCCAAATGCTTCAATTGCTTGGTGACCGATCAGCTTCCCGATCTCATCGTCTTCAACATAGTTGACATCGGAAGGTTCCAGTGCATTACCGTTTTGAGGTCGAGTCGAAGGAGATCGCGGCGACTCCGTGATCGCTTGGTCATCGTCAAACGGGTTGCCGCGCAACACCTCGAAGATCAGTAAGATTGGGACTCGAGCCTTGGTCGAAAAGGCAGTGCCTTCATTCGTCGGTATCCGCACAATACGTTCGAACGGATCCGTCGCCTTCACCAGTGGCACGTATGCCATCGGAGGTAGATGCAATTTCGTCAAATACGATGGCAACTGGGCCTTTCGGTCCTGAATAGAAGGCACGAAACGGAGCGCCTCTGCAATATCGGTTATCTGCTCCACGAAGTCGCACTCGTCAGCAAAATGCTTGGCTAGCAAAGACTTGTCTGTCTGACTCATGCGTCGCATAGACTCACTAAAAATGCTAGTCGGCTCGTTGTTACTATCCTCCTCTTCAAGAATAGACAAACGTTCGTCTTGTTCAGATTCTTCACCCGCACCGTGCGAAAGCAACATCGAGTTTATGTTTTCCTTCGGTGTAAGCAGATGCTGTTGGAAACGCGAGAAATCGCGGAATCGGCTATCCACATCAACATCAAGCGAATTGCTACGACTCAGACCGCTTTGTGCCATCGACGACGACGACGACGACGTCTGATAAAATGAATGTCCACCTTGAGGCAAGAACGTGCCGGCATCGGAACCCTGTGCTTGCCGACGATAGTTTGCTATCTCCTCCGTTAGCTTCACAATAAGATGTAACTGATCATCTGTAGGCATCGGCAAGTTACGTTTGTGCACCTCTGGTGTCCCTTGCTGTGGGTCACGACTAAGCACAGTCGCTCGGTCTACACCAGCAACCTCGCGCTCAATCTCAACCATGAGACGCACGACGCGGGCGTACTTGTCCTGCATCTCCTTGGGTTTCCTAGGATCAAATGAGTCCTCGAGTGCACCTTGGAGTTGCCATCGAAGAAGGAGCGCGAGGTGAATGGATCGCGAACAGACTGACAGTATAAGCTCATCCAGCCAGAAAATCTTCTCAAAATCAAAGTTTGGAATCGACAAATACGCATGCACAATCTGTGGCCAGTAAAACTCCACTTGGTTGATACGTGTGTACGAAAAATGAAGCAGCTTTTCCACGATGGGCTTGAACAGCAGAGGATCGCTATCCAAGTGGCGGTGCAGCAATATGACGGCGCGATACACGCTAAAAGTGCGTGCGCGGAATTCGCGGTGGAGACCCAATATCGTTAAGTCGAGCGGGATCTCGGGATGGTCCATCGTGTGGTCATAAAATCGTCGATCCTTCAGCAAGATCTCTTCACACTCCTCTGCAGTAATCACTTTTGCCTTGAGCAAGTCGATCGCAATTTTAGCCGACTCAGTCTGCAGAGGACGTTTCGGCATGATGAGCTCAATCGGTGCCTCAGGGTTCAGCTGGCGCGGGTACAAACAAATGCCAGCCTTCAGGCGCTCCACCATTGCGCGCAAGTAATTTATGTAATTCTGTGCTTCGTAGCAGCGACCGCAGACGCGCTTAGCAGAGTAGCACGATCGCTGCGGCAACGACACCTTGCCTGTCGTAAACTTATCACAAAACAGTCCATCACAACTGTTGCATTTGTACAACATCGTTGCACCTGCAGGTGCTGGTTGGCCTGCCGCCGCAGCTCCAGCCGCCAACCGCGCGCAATCCGGACAATTGCACGTCACGTCCGTCTCATTCGATGGCACTGCCACGATGCTCACTGGCGACGGAGCAACCTCCAGCGATGTCGCCTGCTGGAACAGCATGGCAGCTGCCAGACGCGGTACTGTCGTCTCTACAACAGTCTGGATCGCTCGGATCCACTTTTCCTTGTCCATGGCCGTGTCCGCATAGGCGTAAAACACCTTATTCTGCGTCGTAGCAAACAAAAATCCGTGCGGATAAATGTGCATATTGCCTTTCCCGTCCCACTCTTGCACGCCCAACACGTCCGCTTCGCCCTTGATCCGCAGCATGTGATACGCATCTTCCTGTGTGCTGTAGCAACACAACAACAACAAGGAACACAAGAACAAGAAGAACAAGAACAGCAACAACGGCACAAGTAACAGCACAAGTAACAGCACAAGTAACAACAAGGACAACAACAACAACAAGAACAGCAACAGCGATCCCACAGCATCACCATAAAAACATAACAATCAACACACACAATGTGAGCGTTCACCGCAGCCCAATCGACAACCAGCTGCCACTTTTGCGCCCTTCTTCGAGTCGTTACTTCACCGTATGTACCTATAATAGTGGAACGACGTGCCCACGAGGAAGCAGTAGTGGCGCAGCATGGGCGGCGGCGACGACGGACTCGTGCGGAACGTGAGGTACCCCTCGCAACTGGCGCGGGCAGCTTTCATGGCGCTCCACGAGCTCAGCCGCGACCTGACACGACGTTTCGTAGTGGCGTTCAAGGCGTCGAGCTGGACGTGACGCGCGTCGGTGGATGACTCGGCCCGTGTGCAGACGGGGCACGCGTGCAAGCGCTCGGTCGGTAGAGGAGAGCTCGGAGCACGCGCTGCAGTTGGAGCGGCGGCAGGCCGACCCGTAGAAAAAGTGCTGCGAGAGAGAGCGAGAGAGAGCGCGCGCGCGACCGGCAGAGGAACCGCGCAGCGAGGCCTTCTCCTAATACAACTGCAGTGTGGTGAGATGGGTGGGAGCGTGGGTGGGTGGAAATGTGGGTGGGTGGAAGTGTGGGTGGGTGGAAGTGTGGGTGGAAGTGTGGGTGACAGCCGAGGTTTATTCACAAGGACGAAATGACGCGGGTGAGAGGGTTACCCGTGCGTCTGTTTTTGTACGGTGGTACACTGGACTGGTACACTCGAGTTTGCTGGTTGCGAGCGACTCTGTCCTCACTCGCGAGCGACGTTCGGGCTGGTGGACGTGATGGCTCGCAAGAAATCGACACTGGCGCCGCTCAAGGCGTCGATCCCGACCACTCGTAGGAACAACAAAGGACGCAAGCCGAAGACGGCCATCACTGCGGTCAAAAAGCAGCAGCTGCAGCAGCCACAGGTGCAAGTCAAGAGCTTGAAAAAGACGGCCAAGACGGTGAAGCAGCTCGCAAAGGCAGAACGCGAACAAGAAGGAGAAGAAGACGAAGGAGTCGAAGACGAAGAGAAGGAGGACGACGATGACGATGAAGAAGAGGAGGACGACGACGATGCGAGTGAGACAGAAGACAGTGACGAGGTGAACGACGACGAGGAGGACGATGACGACGGGTTTGAGGATCAGGGATCGTCGTCGGACGACGACAGTGGCGATGATGAACCAGACGATGCCGAGCTGACAGAGCTGGAGAAGAAGACGCGTCGTTTTACTGTGGACCGTGAGAAGGAAGTGCAGAAGATGCGCGAAGACGGGTCGTTGTCGGTGGCGTCGCAGCTGCATGTGGACGACTTGTCGTCTGACGATGAGGTAAGAGTGGCGCAGCAGTGGGAGCTTTGGTGTTTGTCGAGGACGTGAGTACATGTACTGACTTTGCGATGCTGCTGTTGGATGTAGGAAAACGTCAACACGATCGGCAATGTGACGCTTCGATGGTACGAAGAGTATGACCACATTGGGTACAATGTGGAAGGCAAGCGGATCATGAAGTCAAGTAATGGAGACGGCATTGATAATGCTATCGCTGCGAAAGATGACCCAAACTATGAGTAAGCCATGTGTATGTGTGCTGTGTGAAGAGGCGTGCAGAAGACTGACATTTGCGTGGATGAACTCACAGCCGCACAGTGTACGATGCTTACAATGACCGGAAGATCGTTTTGTCGGATCGTGACATGGAAATCATTCGACGGATGCAGGCAGGCGCTTTCGCTCACCCGGAGTTCGAAGCATACCCGGACTATGTGGATATCTACTCGTCAAACAAAATCATCCATTCGATGGGCAACGACATTGAGCCCAAGAGCCGATTTTTGCCTTCGAAGTGGGAGCGCATGAAGGTGCTGAAGATTATGAAGGGTATCAAGGAAGGCCGCATCAAGCTTGAACAAAAGCCAGAAAAGAAGCCGGAAGTGTACCAGATGTGGTTTGATGACGACCAGTCACAAACTCGAAGGGGACCTGCACACGTCCAGGCACCAAAGATGCCGCTCCCTGGACACATCGAGTCTTACAATCCTCCGGACGAGTACTTGTTCACGAAGGAGGAGCTTTACGCTTGGGAAAAAGCCGATCCGGAGGAGCGTGAAACGAGGTACATGCCAAGGAAGTTCAAGTCGCTTCGTGAGTTGTGTGGCTATAGCGGTTTTGTGCGTGAGCGCTTTGAGCGTTGCTTGGATCTGTACTTGGCACCTCGTGTGAACAAGCGCAAGCTCAACATTGACCCCGAATCGCTCGTGCCAGAGCTACCGAAGCCTCAGGACCTTCGCCCTTTTCCGAACACGTTGGCTCTTGTCTTCAATGGCCATACTGGACGTATTCGCTCGCTCGCGGTGGATCCGTATGGCCAGTATGTGGCTTCGGGCTCGGATGACTCGACTGTGCGTATTTGGGAGCTAGAGACTGCTCGCTGTTTGCAGGTGTACAACGTTGGTGCAGTGGTGCACAAGCTGTCATGGAACCCTAACAAGGATCACCAGTTGCTGGCTGTTGCGGCTGCTAAAAAGGTGTTTATTATTGCTACTGGAACGGGTAGCGCCGATCAAACGGAGCTTACGAACGTTCTCGTTGGTGACGCTGATGATAGCATTCGAGTTGTTGAGGAGACGGGTGGCGCGACAGATAGCACAAGTGGTGGCGTCCAGGTTGTGGACGAGGCTGACGCTACCGTCGAGGCTGACGCGCTCAAGAAGAAGGTACCTGTAACTTGGCGGTTTTACAGCGGGACAAGCGACAAGCACAAGTCAAACAACGCGTCCGAACGACCGTGGCTGGAACGTCGAGTAGGTACTGGTATCCGCGTGGTGTTGCACCACACGAGCGACGTGAAGGATGTAGCGTGGCACCACAAGGGAGATTACCTTTCTACGGTCTCTCCTGGCGCAGGCTCGGGTGCTGTGCTGATCCATCAGCTTTCGAAGCGTAAGACGCAAAATCCGTTCCAGAAGAGTGTGGGCCAAGTTCAGTGCATTCTGTTTCACCCGTCCAAGCCGTTCTTCTTCCACGCCACTCAGCGCCACGTACGCGTGTATAACCTGGTGAAGCAATCCATCGTGAAGAAGCTGTCGTCAGGTGTCAAGTGGATCTCCAGTATGGCCGTGCACCCGAACGGTGACCACCTTCTCGTTGGTAGTTACGACCGACGGTTGTGCTGGTTTGACTTGGATTTGTCTTCAAGGCCGTTCAAGACGCTCAAGTACCACGAAAAGGCCGTTCGGGATGTGTCGTTCCACGCCAAGTACCCTCTCATGGCTTCCGCGTCGGACGATGGCACCGTTCACATTTTTCACGCCATGGTGTACTCGTACGTATTGCACCTCGCATCAGTTCATGTTCTCAACGAGTCGTTGGCGCGACTGCACAGCCTCATTCACAAACTGATGGAATCGTTACGATCACGCGTATGTTTGCAGGGACTTGATGAAAAATCCACTGATCGTGCCGCTCAAGATACTGCGTGGCCACGAGGTGTCCGGTGGTCTCGGTGTCATGGCGCTAGCTTTCCATCCTGTCCTGGTACGTCTCTTATCGCGCACGCGACATGTTCGTTTTCTCGCTGCCATGCTCACTAGAGCTTGCGTTTGTTTGTGTCGTTGCGATCTCGTTTTGTTTGCTCCAGCCGTGGGTGGTGACAGGAGGTGCCGACGGGACCATCCGTCTCTTCCAGAACCTCCACTAGCTCGTTCATTGCCACAGAGTGAGAGCACCCATTCACGCGCCGTAAGCGCCAGCTCCGTAATAGACAACGTGCACATGGATACTTTCGTGATGAAACAAGTGCACTTGATCGTCGATGAGGTCCTCAGTGAGGTGAGACGTCCCATTCGGCAGCGTTCCTGTACCTCAAGCTCCTGATGACAGCATGACATCCCACTACCACACGAGTCAGCGCACCAACTCGAGCGATATCTCGACACGGACGTTCGATCGAGGCCACAACACGCAGAGAATGCTGCACCAACCACGACGCTTAGCGCTGCAGGCATGACATGAAAAGTCCTTAATTTATTGAGCTATATAAGGAAAGCGAAAAGTTAAGCTACAGCTACAGCAAGGGGACATCAGTCGTCCCACGACATCGGTCCAAAACCAACCGACGGACCCTGTCTTCCCCCAACACCCACCCACGCACGCGCATGCGACAGCGAAATGCACCGCGTCATTCTACTTGCACAGCAACGACCGCCACTGCCACCAGACGTCCGCTCGCTTGTGTCTCCGTGACGTTGCACGCGTCCTGCACGTCTCAGTTCTTTTTCCCAATGCTAGGAAGACGGAAACGGGAGCGCTTCGAAGACGCCGGCATCGGAGGCGGCATCTGACCGTATCGCACCGGGTACTGGTACTGCCCACCCAACGTCGTGGGCGGGTACTGCTGCTGCTGCTGGCCGTACTGCTGCTGCTGCTGAGGGGAGTGGCCGTACTGCTGCTGCTGATGAGGGGAGTGGCCATACTGCTGCTGTTGGAGGGGCGAAGCTTGTCCATACGCGTGCGGCGGAGCTTGCTGTCCATAGTGGTGCTGAATGGGCTGGCCGTATTGCTGGTGTGGCTGGCCGTATTGCTGTGAAGAAGCTTGGGCGTATGGCTGCGGACCCTTGTTGTTGGTGTAGCCGTAAACACCCGGTGGCTGCTGCTGCTGTTGCGGGGGGTACACGCCCGTGGCCATGACGGGCGGGTAGCCAGCGGGCGTCGTGGCCCCCAGACTCGGTCGCTTCTCCTCGTCCGACTTTCGTTGGCTGTGGTGGCCGCCCACCCGCTTCCCGTTCATGTCGTACAGCGTGCCCTCCGTCGGCTCGCCGTCGCCGTCCAGCAGACTCGCATTGTCCACTTTGCCCTTGCGGTCCAGCACAGTGTCGCCCGAGAGCACCGCGCGGTCCGACTTCTTCTTGCGCAGGAACCCCACCATTCTCGCTGACGCTGTCTCGATATATGGAGGAGGGAGGGGGGGAAGAAAAGAAGCGACGGTCTATTTACCTATCTACCCACCTGACGGACGAACGGACGAACGCGGTACCTGCTGGTTGTCTGTCTCTTGTCGTGCGATAGAATTGCGGGCGAGAAGAGGATCAGCAGACAAAAACTGCGTCTTCAGCTGCTGTCGCTCTCTTTCTCTCTTTCTCGCAATCGGATGCTGCGCACGGGGACGATTCAAGTATGACGCCTTGGAAACTGGTTCGCCCCCCCCCTTCCCCTCCCAACGCTCGCTCCTGGTCCTCCTCTTCGAGGATTTGTCCTAATTTTCCAACCCTCCCCCGATCGGGCGACGGCGGCTATTTAGACTGGCGCTTTGTATGTCCAACGCGAGCCCCACCCATTCCACGTGGACGCACGGACGCAGCTGGAGACTGATTGACTCGGTTCGACTATGCGCGACCAGTCGTCGCGTTGCGGACGTGGATGCCCGCGTCGAGCCTCGAACTCACTTGCAACAATGGCGACTCGACACTGGGAGCTGCCGTAAACAACGACACGCGTTTGTCACTTCTTCAGTGTCAATTACATCGAACAAGTCGATCCGAAGCGGAGGTGCGCTTTCAGCGGAACAGAGCTCTGTTGCAGTCGACCGGTTTCACACGGACTGTTGCAGCACGAAGGAGAAACTGCATCAACGGTGTCTCGTAAACAGCCACTGACAGGTCGTCGGGTGGAGCCAATTTGCTGCAGTGCTTGTGGCTGTGAAAACGGACACAACATTGGAACGAAACGTTGCATTGTGAACCTACAGCGGCTGATGAACGAAGCTGCGCAGAAAGCAGGTTGCCTCGAGCGGTAATGCACTGCATCCCTTTGGTTTCGACAGACAGACACATCACGTGGTTGATGCTTCTTTCCTTCGCTAGAAAGAAGCACTGGGGAGAGTTCAGACCATACAAAACATACGTCAAAACGAGCGCTGCGAAACGGATCAGACCAGAGTGTCACCATCGTCGTGAACGTCCTTGTTGAATTCGAGGCAACAGAGCTGGGCGGAAGCTTACTGGCTCCAATGACGATGTCGCGTGTGACACGGCGTACCACGAGAGACGCTATCCTGTTGTCGCCCGCTATGTGCGCCTCGACCAACAACGCCACCGTCGACTGTATTCAGAACGCACGTGGAGTTCTGTTTGGTATCTCGTAGTGGCACTGAAAACTCGGCCGTTGCATGTCGAAGCAATCGCCTCATGCACCGAACATTATCAGATCGCCGTTTGTCTCTCTTGGCAACAGTCTCGTCGCTATCCCGTTGACATGCGACCGAGGGTAGCAGCTGGCGCGAAGAGAGGAAGAGGAAATCCGACACAACCGAATCTAGCCGGAACAAAGGCTGTGTGCTGGCTAGTCGTTGGCCGGTTCTTCTTTACGCGCGCGTGCTTGCACGCTGTTGGACGGGAGGATGCTTGTTAGCATATGTACTTGCAGCATAACAGCGACGGCAGGCATTCCGTCGCCATGATTGGCCTCGACTTGTTGGGACATGTGAGGCACTCCACGTGGCATCGCTGCTGCCAGGCAGGCAACAGTGCTGCTAGTATCATTATCATTATTATTATTACTACGTCGAGCAGATCGTGTGTCGGTGCACTTGTCGTCTACTGCATCAGCACTGCTGCAGTGGTCTGAGATCAATTGAACAGAAAAAGCGTCACGTTGCAAACCCAAGCGACGATGCAGTAGCGTCCACGCAGTTGTCCACCCCCGTGCTGCTTCACCACGTCACGTGCTTGTCCAGAAAGTCCCGTGTCATCTCCTCTACCTGTGCCACGTTCTCCATGTAGGTGCCGTAGGACATGTGCCACGGATCCGGTACGTCCCACGTGAAGGCACTCAAGACACCGTCTCGTTCCTTGATGTGCGGGAACTTTTCCGCGACTTTCGCCACGAGGCCACTCGCGACGCACACGACATAGTCGGCCTCGAGACACATGGTCTCGGTCAGGAGCTTCGAGCTGTGGCTGGACAGATTGAGACCGTACTTTTTCATCACGTCCACTGCGTGTTGAGATGCCGGAGAGCCCTCGGGGTCAAACACGTCCGTTAACCTGCAGCACCAGCGCCAGTGTAAGACGTTTGACCGATCTTTCTGCACGATTGAAACACGCAACCAGTGCAACAACAGCAACAACAGCAACAAAAGACAACGACGACGTACGCGGCCGAGCGGATGACAATCCCCTTTTCCTCCTGCTGTTCGCGCGACATGCTGAGCTTGCGCCGAAAGTACTCGACGGCAAAGTGCTCCGAGACCGGCGAGCGGCACGTATTGCTCGTGCAGACGAACACGATGTTCATCTCCTCGCGCTTGGATCGGACAGTGGGAGCGGCTGCGATTGGCCACAAAGCCGACTCCGAAGCGAAATAGGGGAGACGAGAGACGCTGCGATTACGGCCGTCGCGCCCGTATTGGCGGCCCTTTTTTACTGTAAGTGGATGCGGACGCTGGATGTTGAAAGACTCGAACGAGAGAGAGAGAGAGAGAGAGAGAAAAGCTGTGGTTTGACGTGGATAGAAATAGAGACGCACGCCTTGTTTGACGTGCACTGGGTTTTGTAAATACGTACAGGCTCTGCACGGGACAAGCGGATCTACGCCAATGGTGCCCTATTTTAGGGTGTGTTGCACAAGCTTGTACTGTGACGAAGTACGTAGCGGCGATGCTGGAAAAACCTGCTGCACCACGTCCTTATAGCTGACGGGTGGAGTAGTTGCGCATAGTCGTGCCTTCCTCATCGACTCTTCGTGAAAAATTGCTTTCGTGCTCGCATTGATATTGATACCGATTGAACGGGCTCGTCTTCACATGCTATGCCCTGGATCTTACAGTCAAGGCTTGTGCTCTGCAATTGACTCTGCGTACTCTTAACACGCTGGTTCACAAGATCACATGTCAAAGTCTCGCGCCTGTTGCATCTCGTGGTCGAAAAAGCATCGCCACCTCCCTCAAAGCTTTTCCGACTAGCCATCAATGACAGCAAATGAGCTGACGATAAGTCGTCGATGCGTCGTCACATTCAGCACCCATGACGTGTGACATGTAACGATCAAGACCATATACGAATTGCGAATCGTCGTGGCTACTTCTACTCAATGTACTTCGACAACAAAAGATCTCGCTTTCCAGCACGCTGTTGTGATTCCGCTCCGGTTGTCCACAGCACGTCAGCACCAGGTTCTGTCACATCGTAAGCTGTGGCAGTCGATTGTCATTGCACGCGCCGGTGCAAGAGAGGTAGTGGATGGCCATCATCATATGTGGCGTGGAAGGGGCGACTAGTGCTTTGTGTATGCAGGCATTATGGTCTCACACTTATACGCACGTGCATAGGGCGTTGTGCCACTTCGCACCCTGTCGACGTATTCATGCGCGTCTGAGTCCGACGTTTCAATCAGGAGCTCTTATGGATGCGCAGACGAGTGAAGCTGGAAGCGATAGTTGCAAAATCTAGTCATGATATCGTCCATCAGAGCCACTGATAAGTTTTTTTTAACAAGTACTGTATGTTTGCTTGTCCGTCGTGGCTCTGATGGACGTTATTATATCCTATTTTTGAGGACACAGGCCTTGCAAAAGTGCTTTATACACGACAACTTTACCGCAGCGAAGGAGGCGAAAGTTACAACTGACGACAACTCCGTCATGTTTCGTTACTTTCCCATAATCTTGAGCCAAAGAACAGGACATGAGGATGCCACGAACATAACCCTGTCGACAAACTCCAGGCATGGCATTATGCAGACCAAGTTCGACGCACGCCCATGTGACCCCGCGGGTCCAGTATTGTCCCGCCGACAAAAGCACGTGATTAGATTCGTAGCAGGCGCGCGGTCATGCCATCATCGCGCAAGCTTTTTCATCGAGTATGTTGGTCCTAGAAATGTGTTAGTTGATCCAGAAAAAGCTGAGCGTATAGGTCGCTTGCTGATTGAAGCGGTTGTGTCACCTTTCCTTGACAATTGGCAATAGTAATGCGGGAGCATATTGGCCTCGCATAAAGACAGTAGGCGTGTAGACCTTAGACCATCGATACCGAGGACGGGCAACTATACTAAGCTCATCCGTGTGTACAATGTTGTGTATGGACTAGATTATTCGCGGCACATGACCGGTCATGAGCGCACACTGGACAGCGAATCCGATGGTCACTTTTGGGCAAGGAGACATCTAGTATCATTTGTGGCAAAAGACACAGTGATATGCTGAGCTGTATCTTTTTCGTGTTGCGACGCAACGCAGCGTCTTTCGCGACAATGGTTATAGTCGTGCACCCATTGCAGGACTCTGCACGAGACAGCTTTGTGTTGACGCTTACGATAATGAGCACCGGAAGCAGACTTGGGGGCACACAGTTTGGCCAAGTGCACAGGAGTGTGGAGTGCGGTACTAATCGACTTTATTCTATGGATACGTGTTGTCATTCGAACAAGCGCAGCCTTATGTGCAAGTGTAGCAACCATATTGTGTCACCCATTGGCAAACATAACAAGCTCTGAAGGTGCTCGTAGTAGGACCTTGTCGTGTGAACAATGCTACCTCCTAACATGACGCCAACGCGCGCGTAGAAGACAGAAAGGCTACGTAACCGTTTACGTAGGCGTCACGAACTACCGAGTCTGTTGAATAGCAGTGCAGGTGGCTCGTTATCTTCTCCAGCGGCTGCTTTTTTATCCACGACAAGTGTACATTAGAACCGATGTTTATATCGCTCGTGTGTGCGGAATTGACCAGCATCAGTAGTCGAGTCCACTTCGAATCAAACTTTATTACTTCACAGTCGACATTTATAACGAAGTGCAGCCAACATGACCGTAAACACACAGCTAGTCGTCCTAGCAGCCATCACCACCAGCAATAACTAGACACGCGGTAGAATCGTAGGTGCTCAAGATGTTGGTCGTAACGGACCAAATGAGCGCCAGTATCAGATACACTGCCGTGATCATGCCCATCAAGAAACTAGAGCCACCAAGACGTTTCATCACGTGCGTCTGCTCTTTTTGCCGAGGAAGCATGGGCAAGAAGGACAGCGACAATAAGTTGATCGCCCACATGATCAACACCGTGATGGTCACGTCGTATCGTACGTCGTGACTGTCGTTCTGGATCCGCTCCGTCGACAAGTCGAACTGACCATTGACGTTCCGTGTGATGGCGGCTGAAAATGGGGTGCAGAGATTGTAGACCGTCGTGAGAAGACCGTACATTGCACCTTCGTGTCCTTCCGTAGACAGCTCCACGATGATGAACGAGCTTACAATGTAAATGATGCCTTGAGGAATTTGCTGAATAATAGGAATACCGAGCCAGAACCAAGGCGAACGGGTAACGTCCCAAATTGTCAACAGCTTCACTACTGCATCCAGCGCTAGGTTCGTAACCATGGTCACGACGGTAGTACGACGCCAGTCCCAATCGCGACCGTAGTTGCCGGCAAACCAAACCGAGATGGCAAACACGGCTGTAGTAAAGTAGCCGGCAACTTTCTCTGCAAGAGGTGATACGTTCACCCAGTTGGTCTGGATAGGATAGCTGGATACCCATGTAAACGTTGCGAAAATGCCGGAAATAGTCTGGTACGCGATATACTGATACACCGCTCGCGTCTGCACGATATCCCAGAGCTCGTGCATGTAGTGCGTGAAGCTCTTGTGATGGTTGTGACATCTCTCCTCGTAAATGAAAAACCACGTGATGGGAACCATCGGTACGATCAATAACGCCACGATCGACATGAGCATCGGGAAGGACAGCGAGAAGTCAAAGTCACCGCCGTATTCGTCACCATTGAAGCAAAACGCGACCAGGATAAGACCGAGGATGTTGAACGCATAGCGCGTCGTGTAGATCACGGTTTGCGTCTTTCCTCGAATCTCGATCGGTTCGCGCTGTGCTAGCTCCACCACAATGCCATCGGCACACACATCCGCCATCAGGTACCCAAAGACGCACCCCATCATTGGTACGATGTACATGCTGCCCTGGGAGGCAGCATCGTAATTGATCGTTTCAATGATTTCGGGCGTGTAGTTTTCCGGCTTTACGTCTCGGTACTGCGAGTCGGTGAAGTACGGACGCCCCGCAGGCGTGAGCGCCATTCCCAAGAGCATAGCAATCGACACGATCCAACCCATGACCATATAAGGCCGACGACGGTAGCCCCACAGTGGAAAGCAGTCCGACACAATGCCGTAAAACACTTTGAAACTCCAGGGCAACTGGACCATCACGCTCGCTGTAGTGGTTTGCGACCCGGGGATATTGAGATAGTTCTGCAAGAAAGGATAGATCACGTTGGGCAGCACACCGTCGATAAATCCAACAGCGGCGTACTGCGCGACGAGTCCAATGTACTGTCGCGAGAAAAGCTCTAGCGGGCCCCCACTTCGAAGGGCACCGCCTTCGATGGAGTCAGCAGCATAGGCGTAACGAAGCTTGCCGTAGTCATGCGACGGCTCGAGTGGCGACAAGCTGCACCGCGAGTCGCCCATGACAGCAGCAGTGTCCAGCATGCAGAACTCGACCTGTTCATCGGGTTGTGGCATTTCCGTGTCTGTTGATCGAAAGTCCTCGTAGCTCATACGCGGAGGACGCAATTGAAACACTAAAGCTGCGTCGTCAGCAGACACGGTGAATAGAGCATGCCAAGTGAATGCGACACAGCTCTTCGCGCGCAGAAGGAATGCAAAGACCGAGCGCTACTCTTTGCGATGTGCACCATCACTCTACATTGTCGACACGTTTTTAGCAAGTACGGGCCACGTATCCCCGTGTCGTCCACGTCGCTGATTGTATCCGCAGAGATGGAGCACTGCGTAACACTCGACATGCGTCGACGCTAGCCCGGAACATGATGTTGAAGCCCACGCGCAGAGCCTTTTCCGAATGCTGCAGAGAGCAGTTTCGTCTGCTGAAACGGTTAAAATGCGGCCGACGAGCACATGGTCTCAGCTAACTGCGTTCCGTTTGGCTTCGTACTACAGTCACCACGGCACGATATCACATGCACTTTGTTCGCTGACTTTGTTCGCTGACTTTGTCACACGGTCCGTGTGCCTAATCACGTCCTTAAACGACTATACCGCCCATCGTGTTATTTTCTCAATTGCAGATGCGTTCCTACCGTCGTCGAAACGCTTCCCTCGTCGACGCTTACTCAAGTACATTAGGACACGACGAGGCGAGCACGCTGTGGCAAGTATAGGCGCAATGTCGTCGAGCTTCAATTGGACTGGATGCTGATTAAGGAACGATGACAGGTGGACATCGAAAGCACAAGCACAAGGCAAAGCCATGCCTAGATTCAAAGCCGTTATGTCTACGCTCACAAACGTAAGGAGCCGAGACATTGTTCGACGTGACCGGACTTCAATCTACACGTCGTTTGTGCTGTACATAGCTGGCTGAGGGTTTGTCCTCTTCAGACTGTGTGTATGGATTGCAAAACTATTGGTACGTGGTAGCATCCGCTTTCGTTCGGTCTCTTGCTAAGCTCTAAAACGGAGCGACGCGGCACATTTGGTACTGTCCGATAGATCTCGTTCTCGTTACAGTCTCCATCGTCGCAACCCTGCCATACCTGAAGGTCCGAAACGCTGAACGTTCAAGTTTTGCACGCCTACGTCAGGGTGTGCATAGCACGTTGATCGTGAACGCCACTCGTCGCTCAATGATTCGTCTCGTTCTCGAAGCACTTTTTTCGTTTTGTATGAAGCTCATGGATTTCTTCCTTGTGCCAAATCAGATCCCTCAATCAAGAGATTTGGTAAGCAGAGGCTTGCGTTCAAGAGAGTCTACGCATGAATTGCCTTCATCTGTCACTCTGGTGCACACAATGTTTGCACATGGTAAACCAACAGTCGGACGACCTATTGTGCTCGTCGTTGAGATCACGCAATACTACTGGGTGTGCACGTGGCCCGTGCAGGCGGTGTGTGAAATCGATGGCGCGCCCCATTGATGACGGACATTCAGCTTACATACGGATGTCACGCATTTGCTGTAAACGAACCTGTTCAGCATCGATCGACTTGGTTGCCCGAACACACTCTCAAGACGGCCAAGAATCGCTCGAGCGACACGATTTGTCGCATGGCAACGCTAGACTCGTGCTGGAAATGGGCTAAGCGTGACATTTAGGCAATAATTTGTATTTCGAGACACTACTAATCTCTCGTCCATCATAACTTTTTTACTTTGTATCTGCTGCTTCGAAATACAAACGTTTCTAGATGCCCTTCGAATCGAAATTCCTCATTGATGTTGATGTTTTTTCTACACCTAAGCCAAAGGCTAGGCTCGAGCGAAGCCACAAACAATGCACAATGACTTGAAGTGCCACTCGTATAAATCGTGCGCGATGACATGAAGTACCACTCCTACATTTCGACGCGCTGCTCTGTGATCGCACAGACGACGCACTAAACTCTTAAACGTCGGAGTATCGGAATCCACCTCGACTACCTTTTCATTGCACTGCTATGGCCAACGGTTTCTAAAAAAGTACTTTGCAGGCGATTCCACCGCAGGACGTACACCCTTATCATGGACCGGAGAGAAATCATCGTTGACGATGGTAAATCGACTACGATGCACAGGGTGTCCTCGTACTGTTGACATCAGCTGATCTCAGTATGCCAGTCATCCAGGCAGGCAGTGAGTACGTTTGGGTCGTAAAGAATAGACAAGCGTGACTGAGAACAGGTGGCACACACGCTTGATCGAACTAACTTGAATCTCAACGTTTGACTGTGGCCCCTTCGATCTTCCAAGCAAACTGTCCTATCTTTGTCTAAAGCGTCCTCGCACTCCTGAATGAACACGTGAGCTGGAGTAGAATGACTGATCGCTCACACTGCCATCATTATAGTAGCTACCCAACGCCCTACCACACTACGGAAGTAGACGCTCCTGTAAGTTCGTGTGTTACATCTAGTCATGTGCAGCAAAAAAGCCGAACTTGATCAGGCAGTGAAGAAAGTAAAAGCTGTGAATGTCTGTGCAAGCTAATATTCCTTCATGACGCATAAACGTTGCGAGCATTCCAAACCATCTGATCCATCCTAAATTTTGGTGACGTCGATTGTCCAGCCGTGCCCGGCTGTATGAGCAGCTGTTTGGTATAGGCACACGGATCCATCCGCAGCAACCGGCTCTTTTGCAATACACGTGTTCAAGATTCCATTCAAAGCATCGATAATGACGGTACTAACGTTGCTCGACGTGGAACGGTGACAAATTGTAGCAGCTTAGGGTTCGGCAGTTGCATGTAAGTTCAAGAATGGTGGACAGTCGTTTGATCGGGTAGCGACAGAGTTCGTCAAGTCGCCACGTTCCAATGTTCTCCCTTTCGCGCGCGCCGAGCCCCCATCGCCAAATATTGACGAACTCTTGGCCTCATCATATCATGTAATTGAACCTGAGACACTGCGACATCCACGAACACTGCTCCACCTTATTGATTACTCCTCTTGTCGGTTTCAAAGCGACGTTTTTAGGTACACTACAGTCATTTAGAAACCTAACGACTCGCCAATGTCCTACCGCAAGGAGCCTACACATCTCCTATCAGCTTGCCAACATGTACGATGTTAGCAGGAGCAGTAACCATACTCTGTTTGAGTTTGTAGCCTACCGACATCCTCGGCTGGATGACCCGTAGTAGAATGCGCGGAAATATAGTGGGTGATGTCCCGTTTGAGAAAACCTAGAACCACTATCCATGTCGGTGTCTATTGTGCGAAGTCCTCCGCGAGGACCCTGGGTGCTCTTCCCTGTATCCATAGCGATATTGGACAGGGCGTCAGCCATTTGTTTGAAGTGTCGTAGCTGGTGTGCCCTGTGCTCGACATGCAGCTGATCAGCGATCATGCGGCATTGCTCATATACATCTTGTAGTCGGGATGGTTTAGGTAGGCTGCGTCGGATCATGTGTTGCAAGATAAGTTTACTGTCCCCAACGACGTGGAGCCCTCGTAAGTTGTAAGAAAGTGCCTTGTGCAATCCAACCAGGAGATCTCCGCATTCCGCGTAATTGTTCGTGGTGGTCGTCGCTGCATAAGATACGCTGACCGTCCAGTGAATTCTCGGGTATATGTCATCTGAGCCGATAATACAATCGCCGACCCGGATCCACCCGGACCCGGGTTACCTCTACATCCGCCGTCAAAAATACAGCACACAACTGTAATATGTCAAAGAAAACTAAGCTTCGGTACGAGTGCATCAAGATTGGTCCAGTGAGCGCCGTGTAGATCACAAAAGGCAGCTTAATGTGTGGCCTGAGAGGTCTAATGGGAATATCTCTGCTGGGTGATGGTAACGGCACCTTGGTGTAGTCTCCCTTTCAGCAGTAGCTTTGCGCGGTAAATGGTGTTATTCAAGTGAGGTGATCGGCACCTGCACCGTCTCCTCCATATCGCTTGTATTGTCTGTAAGACTCCAAGCCTCCAGTGTTGGAGGAGTGCGTTATACAACCGACCGGTGAGGAGGACCAGCTTGTGGGAGGACAGTGTTTGAAAAAGTTCTGCCATGATTGACCATGCTCCGGGTGGTACTGAACTCAATTTCATTCCGAGGATGTGATGTCCTGTGGCGCTAGACTCGACGAGCCCTAATACTCTCCACAGCCGGAGGAAAGTGTCCCATAGAGGTTTCGCTCCATCACGTGTCTAGAATTTATGGAATATACCCTTCTGGGTCCCGGCTCAGGGGGCAAACGGGTATCCTAGGCGTTGATGGACCAATTCCCACGTCGCAAAAGTCCGTAGCTTGATTTGGTGAAAGACTTGAGCCCACCATATGGTGGAGCCATGTATAGTTTTTGTATCTTTCCAGGTAATATCGCCATGAGACTCGGCTACCTCCTTATCGTCCATTGTCCATGATGCAGCCATGTTAGTCGAATCTGCGCGGCCGTGGCGGTTGATTGTCATTAGCATGGCGCTTTTGGATTGGGTACGCACACATCTTTTGTAGGGATCCGTCGACCACAGTGCGACGATTATATCCAGCGCTGGATGTGGGTGAATTGCTCGATTGTGTTTTCCTAGAGGGTAAGTCGGAAGTAATTGTGCGAGCACATCCAGTCTTGAAGATGCCAAATACTGCCGCTTTGGAGTTAAATTACTAGATACAACAACGAAACTGTTAGGTTCCGGTTGACCATGCGACTCAAGTATCCGTGCCATGGCAACATAATCGAGCGGAAAGACATGTATGCGTGAGTTGGATGTAGCTCGACGCAGTCCCAGGATAAATGAGTAATTTGGTACCAGCAGAATAATCAAGATTGATTTATCCTCGACAGAAATCCTCAAATGAAAAGTCCATCTGATAACCCCGGGTGTTCTAGTAAGTGAGAAGGTGAGATATATTTAGGTACGCGTACGGCCTAATTATCCTATCGCTGGGTATCTAAGTAACCGCAACGAAGACTACTTCATGGACTAGGTAGCACGAGGCCTCGGACCTCAGAGCGCCTACGCGCAGA